GCAATGCCCATCATGTTTTTACTCATATTGCAATTTTCATTGAGATAATTGTAGATTCATGCGCAGTTGTGACAAATAATACAGAGAGATCCCTTGTACAGTTCACCCCACTCCCCATGCAAAACTGCATGTAGTACTATATCACAACCAGGTTAGTGACATTGATGCAACTCGCCCAGGTTATTCACATTTCCCTAGTTTTACTGTTACTCATTTGTTGTGTGCATATTTGTTTTCCATAGACTACGTATTAGTAGTGTTATCTTTTATGTGATTTGGTTTTAGTTTTTTCCCCCTCAAAAAGCATCCCTCCCTGCCCTGGCCAGTTTGGCTCAGCGGTTGGAGTGTCGGCCTGAGGACCAGAGTCCCGGGTTCGGTTTCCGCTAGGGGTATGTACCAAAAAAAAAAAAAAAAAAAGCATTCCTCCCCTAATCGTATATCCCTCTCATGCTCTTGTGTATTTTCTCTAAGCCTGTTTAAGAAAGCAGCTACTTGTAAGAGAAATAAATAGGTAGAAAATAGAATTGTGGGTCTGAATGTACTTTACCAGCCTGCTGATTGTTATATAGACAGTTTAGCCAGTTTATAGTCTCTGAGTTGCTGCTGAAAGATACTCTGGATGGTTTCTAACCAAGAGAGAACCATTCAGTGCCATTTAAAATAGACTGAAGTGTCATTGTCAACTATGTCTGAAAAAGATCGGACAGTGATATAAATGTTAAGTTGCCTGTAATTTAAGCAGAGCAGAGTAAGGAGAAGAATAAACATACAGGGAAAGTACCAGTAACAAAGGAGGCTTTGAGGTCTTTGCTCTTAATCTTGAGTGAATATTCTTCCTAGATGGTAATAGATTGTCTGATTTTCCACCGCTCCCCCACCCACCCACCTCTGTGGGACGAATAACCAAGAAGATATTCACCACTCTGGTTGGAACACATGTGGTCAGTTGATTTTCAGTGGTCATATGATTTTCATATGTGGTCTGGCTTTCAGTTTTGCTTTAATTTTCTAAATGAGAGTATGTTACCTTTATAATCAGAAAATACCCTCAATCATCAGTTTTGGGGTGTAAAAAGGAAAGAAACACTTGATAAATGAAAAGTAAAAAGGAAGTTGGTTTTTTTTTTAAGATTTCTTTATTGATTTTTTTTTTTTTTTGAGAGAGAGAAGGGACAGGGAGAGAGAGAAAAACATTGATGAGAGAGAACATCTATTGGCCACCTCCTGCATGCCTCCTACTGGGGATTGGCATGTGTCCTGACCGGGAATCGAATTGGCGACCTCTTGGTGTATGGGTCTAAGCTCAACCACTGAGCCACACCGGCTTAGTAACTGAGATCAGAAAGCATGAAGAGAGCAGGAGAGAAACCAAGATGATTGATGCTAGTCATCGAGTCACATGGGGTAGCTAGAAGCACATCGACCAGATAGCTGGAAAAAATTTAAAAGCAAGGGACTCAATCTAAGCAAATCGAAAGGACCTGAGAAGAAAAACAATTAGGTGTGACGGTCAGATTAGAATTTGGGTATTGAGAAAAGGGAGCTCTTTCCGTCCAGAATAGGTGCTCTCAGTGGAGGTTGGTCTCTCCCTAATGAACAGTAACTATTGAGTTCTAGCAGGACTTATACAGCAGCTCTTAGTAACTGAAACTTAACAACATAAGGATAGAAGGAAACTACTTGAACGAGAGAACCTGTTTAACAAACCTAACTGTTAAAATGCTGAGGTTATTTATTTTTAAGTTTTTATTGATTTTTTTACATTTATTTAAATATTTTTATTAATTTTTAGAGAGAGAGGAAGGGAGAGGGAAAGAGAAACATCCATGTGAGAGCAAAACTTCGATTGGCTGCCTCCTGTACACCCCCAATGGGGGATCAAACCCACAACCCCGGGCATATGCCCTGACTGGGAATTGAACCGGCAACCCTTGGGTGCATAGAATGATGCTTAACCAACTGGGCCCCAACAGCCAGGGTGCGGAGGTTATTTTTAACTCACCCCAGCTTTTATTGAACATTGTTGTAGGGGTTCTAGATAAACTAACAAGGTAAGAAAATTAAATTATTGCTAAAATATTGGGAGTGACAGCTTTATTCTATTTGCCAGTGTGACTAATACAGAAAACTCAGTTAAAAAACAACATGAGTAAATGAAGGTAAGGTTAGATGGCTGAATAACAGCTGATGTTATAGAATAACGTGTATAGTTTGAGCTTATCTATGTAAAAACAAGCAGTGAAAATTCATTATGTTTGCATGTGTCTGGAGAAAAGTTTGGAAGAGTACACACTATTAAACTGTTAACATTTGTTGTGTTTTTTTTTCATTATATCTTTGCATGTTATTTTTATAATTTTTGAGGAGAAATTTTATAAACGATTAAGTCTTTTGGTATTTAAGAATGTTTGTATTTTCTAATGGTTACTTCTTTACTAACATGTTTACATGTTTACAGTATACCCTTAGTTCCCTCAGTTGGGGAGTATTACTGTGATTCTCTTCCGTGAGCAGTATTGAAGTTAGCTCCTACAGGCATGCACACATAACAGCATTTTGGTAAACGATGAACTGCATAAATGATGGTGTGTACCACCCAGCCTTGCTGTGTAATAGGCTGTACCACCTAGGTTTGTGTAAGTACACTCTAAGATGTTCACACAACAACGAGCTTACCTAATGACGCATTTCTCGGAATGTATACCCACCATTATATGGTGCATGACTGATCATTCCTTCTCCTTCGCTTCCCTCTCCTCCAGCATCTGATTTGAAGTATTCACAGTTGATATCTGAGGATTCTCAGTTTGTATCTATGAAACCAATCAACAAGATTATTTTACTTTTAAAAAGCTCTCTCTGTTCTGCCTACCATACTCCCTTTTTGATAATTGTACTCTACATTATAGAGTATACCATCTCCCTTCCATCCGTTCTTTTGTCTTAGACCTACCAGTAAATATTAATGCTCACTCTGAGTTCTTTCCTATATCTCTCTAGTCATTGTTTGCCTGACACTCATTCTCTCCTATATTCCTCAGAAAGGGTTGATGGAAACAACATTTCACAAATTAACAGTGCATGTTCACAACAGTTTGTCAGCAGCCTTTATATTTGAAGGCCATTTTGTTTCTATATAAAAACCTTTGGGTCCTATTCTCTTTCCTAAAGTAATTTAAATATGTCATTGCATCGTCTTCTGGTATAAAGCATTGCTCTTGGTATTGACAATCTAATTATCTTTCCCTTATAAGTGATTTGGTCTTTTTGCTTAGATTCCTAATGGATTTTATTTTAACCTTTTATTTCAAAGTTTAAAAATTTTGTATTCTGTTAACATTGCTTTGGTTTCCTTCTTCAAGGGCTCAGCTTATTATATGTGTGTTTGATCTTTTTTGCCTGTCATGTTTCTTTCGCTTTCAAAAGTTTAAAAATCTTTTTATTAAAAAAAAATGAGAAGTTATTCAATATAATTTCAAAAAATTAAATATAATTTTAACTTACAGAAAACTATAGCAATAATACATGGAACCTATTTCTATTTGATTATTTCCTTTTGAATTTTTAAAAACTCTTCCCTATTCGGTTTCTTTTAAGGCATTATGTTTATTGGCTCTTATGTTCCTCCTTGTTTCATCTTCATTTCTGAAAATATTTTTTCTTTTCTGAGTTCTTTCCTCTTTTTAAATCCTTCTATTTTATAGTTACCTTGTTTCTTGATTTTTCACTCATTTATGTTATTCTTCCATAGCGTCTACTGTTTTCTTAATTTTATTTAGCTTGTTGGATTAGTGTTCATCTGTGGGAATATTGTTTTATTCCCTATTTTCTATAATGTGATAACATTTTATAGATTTCAACTGCACCTTGTCTGCTTATTTTTAAGTGAACAGTGTTTCTCTGTAGTTTTAGGAAGGAAGAATTGTATCAGATATTCTAGCTCAGGGCCCTCAGGATCTCTATTCATTGGTCTTTGTGATTTTTAAAATAACCTTGTACTTTCTCAGATCAGCCTTTCCTGTTCCTCCCATCCTACCTTTTATCTCAACCTCCTCTTTCTTCAGAGCTTTGTCCTAGAAGGGCATTTCAGTTCCTTAGTTTTGAGAGTCTATTGGATCCAGACTTCCATATCACCTTGTGGGGAGGGAGCACCAGGCGTTCACTGACTGGGAATTAGAGCCTGCAGAATCGACTCCCAGTTCGCTGCTAACACAGATCAACCTGTCATACTCATACTTTCCAGAGCCATCAGTCACCTGTCTTGATTCTACTTCCCTCCATACAAATGCTGATACCACATGGGTCTCAGTAAGTGACTCATCTCCGTTTATTGGTACTTTCGGAATCAAAGGGCGCCTCGTCCCTAGGTTTGTCTTAATTGTCATCTGAGGGGTTGTCTGTGTTCTTTGTTGCTCTGTTTTTGTTTTTTTGTTAATGCTCACCTGAGGATATTTTTTTCATTGATTTTTAGAAAGAGTGGAAGGAAGGGAGGGAGGGAGGGAGGGAGGAAAAGTGAAGCATTGAACAGCTCAGACATGGCCATTGATTGGTTGCCTTCTGTATGACCCCGACCTGGGCTGGGGATTGAACCTGCGACCCTTTGGTTCAAGGGCCTATGCTCTCGCTGCTGAGCCAAACTGGCCAGGGCACTCTGTTTATTTTTATGGAGGAATTCAGAGTAAGTTAAAAACTATGCCACTACTGCCACCATCTTCCCAGAACCACGAAGCTGGAGTAATCTCAGAAACATGTAATTCCTCCACCAGAATTTTTTAAAAATTGAGTCTTATGATGCCTTTATGGTCCTGGCCAGTTTGGCTCAATGGTTAGAGCATTGGCCCATGGACCAGAGAGGTAAGGGTACGTACCTCGGTTCCAGTTTGTCCCTGGCCCCAATTGGTGTCATGTGGGTGGTAACCACTCGATGTGTCTCTCTCACATCGATGTTTCTCTCTCTCTCTCCCTGAAGATAAATGCAAAAATGTCCTTGGGTGAGGATTTAAAAAAAAAGACTCCTTTATAAAACTGTTAAACATATAGAAGTAGAGTGATTAATATAGTGAACCCCTATATATCCATCACCCAGTTTTAATAATTATTGAACTAATGTCCCGTTTTCTTTCATTTGCCACCCCCCCGCCATTAACCTCCTTCCAGCTCTGATTTGTTTTGAAGTAAATCCCAGCACTATAACAAATACTTCTTTAAAAAAGAAAAAATTTGGACACTTGCATCAAAGGAGCCAGAACCCCCTCTACTTAGACTCGGACAGGAAGGGGAACTATCAAGGAGAGACTGTGATACCATCCGGGGTCTGGGCTGAGGTGTCCATCAGCCTGGAAGTACATTCAGAGTACTGCTTGTGGGAAGCTGATCATCATGGCAATCTCTGTGGCACGTGGCACAAGGAGCTAGTAAGACAGCACTTGCCGTTCCTGCCTGAGTAGTTGCAGCAGGAAGCCCCAGTGTGTCTTGGTTTGAGAATGCTTTATACTATATTGAGTCTCTCTTCAGCCTGGCATGGGGGCTCCATGTACAAACCTAAATATTTCAGCCATTGACCTGCTCTTTCCCAAGTGTGTCGGGAGGATGGAGGGAGCCTAGATTCCATTGCAGATGGAATGCAGCCTTCTGGAATGCTTGAAAGGAAAGCTCAGCAATGAAGGCTGGGGTGAAGAAGGGATAGCCATTTCAGAAAACCATGCTGCCTGCAGGAGCAGGGAGGAAGAGTCACTTTCTTCCAAGAATGTGTCTATTACACCCTGCCATTTCCTGGGTATCATAGCCAGAAATTACTCATTTCTGGAAAATCATTCATGAGCTTTCTATTGAGGAAGTCAAAGAGAGAGCAGAGTTCTCAAAGTTAGTTAGGTCATTGGTATTTTCTTATGCCGTCAGTCATTATTTTGTTTTCCACTGTCATCCTCACGCTGTATCTGTTTTCTTAATCCAGATTCATAGCTCTCACTTTAGTGCTTTCTGATCTGTTTATCATACTCATTCAATAAATTCTTATTGAGGGCCCTCTGCAGGAATTGTGTTACACTGGTGAACAAGCTATACCTGATGTATGTCCGCTCCTTTGTATATCTCCAGAAAAGTCTGTCCAGCCCTGTTAAGTAGAGACAAGAAGTTTAGAAAGTGGTATGTGTATCCTGTGTACCGCTAGGAGTCTAGGCAAACGGACATGGGTTGCAGGCCACTGTAGCATGGTGTGGACCCAATCTCCCTTCCTAATCTTTGGTGTGATGGCAAAGGTTTGGAGAGTAACACAAGCAGCAGGCTTCTGAGTTTGCTGCAGTGGAGTATGGCCATCCCTTCAGCCCAGCCTTCATTGCTGAGCTTTCCTTTCAAGCAACAGTGCTGGAACAGACTGAGCAGAACAGCTCAGACATGGCCCATATGATTTTTCTTTTCCTCCCATTGATGCCAGCCAAAGTCTGCCAAGGAGAGTTGACTGATCAGCAATGCCAGGAAGATCTCCCTTTCCTCTGAACCAGATGCAGCTGCTCCACAGTTACTCCTGAGTTCATTATTCTCATTTTTGCTAACTAACCTTGATGCCTTTTCCTATAGAATAGCTTTCCTCTCTGATCACTACTTTCTGCTCAGCGGTGCTTGTTGTGGCTACAGGTGGTCTTCCCCCAGTAAGTGGGAACTCATTGAGGACAGAGACCATGAGGACCTGCCCCATCAACACTTGGCATAGCTTGAAATGCAAGGACAAGAATTGGCAGCAAGCACAATGATATATTGTGGTCTTGATTCTGAAGGTGATCCTCAAAACTTGACTTTGGTGTCTTATGTAAGAATCTTCTTTAAAGAATATACTTGGGTTGTAAAATCTATTACCTTTAAAAGAACTTTACAAGTTTTTTGGTTTTTTTTTGTTTTAATCCTCACCTGAGGATATTCTTCTGTTGATTTTCAGATAGAGTGAGTGGGAGAAGGGTGAAGAGAGAGTGAGAGAAACATCAATGTGAGAGAGACATCGACTGGCCACCTCCCATATGACCCTGACCAGGGCCGGGGATTGAACTGCAATCAAGGCACGTGCCCCTGATCTGGATCGAACCCTCGACTCTGGTCCTCAGGCCAATCTCCAACCACTGAGCAAAACTGGCCAGGGCAAGAACTTGACAGTTTTGGCTTTTTAACTGTTATGTCCTCCAAGGAACATATCTCAATGAAATGTTATACTGTTTACTGTGAGTGATCTTGTGAAGATTACTTCCTAGCTCAGTAGGAAAACAAACATCCTAATAGTGATTTTTTTAAACAATTTATATAGTGTCATTACATGAAAATGTCATTAGTTTCAGCGTTTCTAAAATTCTTTATTCTAATTATTGCTCTATTTAGTTCTAGGGATTTATTTTTTCTCTAGCCCAACTTAGATGTCATTATTTTGTGAGCCTTGGGAGGAAGAGGGTCTAGCTAATTGTAATATCTTTGAAGGACATTGCCTCTGCAATAGCTTCAGTTACTATGTAATAATAATGACCCAGGTCTGTATCTAGCAATATGTATATGGATTTTGGTTCCTATATAGTTTTAGATGTGGTGCTGAAATATTGAGCAAAACCTCTTGAAGAAGGATTTGGCATTTGTCAGCCATCAAAAGCTTCTAAAAATTGATTATATATTAATAGCAAAGGTTTACTGCCTCCTTCTAGTGTATAGAAAATAAATGTAGTTTTACTCATTCAGTTCTAAGAAAGCAGATGACCAAAAGATCATGCAACTGTTGTCCAAGGCTATGACCGGAGAGGAAGAAGGGATAGAACCTTTAAAAAGAGCTTATCTAGCCCTGGCCAGTTTGGCTTAGCGGTTGGAGCATCAGCCCGCAGACCAGTGAGTCACAGGTTTGATTCCGGTCAAGGGCATGTACCTCAGTTGCGGTTCATCCCTGGCCCTGGTTGGGGTTGTGTGGGAGGCAGCCAGTTGATGTGTCTCTCTTGCATCGATGTTTCTCTCTCTCCTTACTGTCTCCCTCCCACTCTATCTGAAGAAAAATGGAAAAATCCTTGGGTAAGGATTAAAAAAAAAAGATCCCATCTCACTAAATATGTTGAAGAGATGAGAAGATGTACTAATTTAATTTGTTGAGATCCTGCTACTTTATGCTGGATCTTATTTGAAGTAGTTACTCTAAAAGTTGCTTTTTAATTAAATATACTTAATTAAAAATTTGCTTCCATTGAAGTTAGAAAGTTAGAAGTCAGATAACTGACATGGAGAAAACTGCTTTTTGTTTGTTTTAACAGACCTGCTTATGAACATGGTAAACAGAAACAATTTAATGTTTTTAATTATTGTATTTCACTACAAGTCAATACACAATACACACACTGATATATACCAGATAAATGTGGGGAGTAGATTTTGTACCCGAACCATCCTGCTCTTTTTTTCCTTAAAGAAGAACAAAGTAACAGTAGTATTAATTTTAACTGCAGAAATACTATTGTAGGTTTTTTAAATTCTGTATATTTTTAATCTGTTGTGTTCCGCTTGATCTTTTTTGTTGTTGTTAATGTATTTTTTAAAATTTATTTATTTTTGTTACAGATGTTTCTCTTTTTTTCCTCCATTGACAACCCTCCTCTCAATCTTACCCCCACCCCCAGCATTATTGTCTGTGTCCTTGTTTACACATACATGTGTAAAAGTCCTGTGTTATCTCTTCCCTCCCCCCACATCCACCTCTTCTGAGGTTTGTTGGTCTGCACTCCTGTTCCATGTCTCTGGGTCTATTTTGTTCCTCATATTCCACAAATAAGTGAGATCATGTGATATTTGTCTTTCTCTGATTGGCTTGTTTCGCTTAGGATAATACTCTCCAGGTCCTTCCATGTTGTCTCAAAGGATAAGAGATCTTTCTTTCTTACGGCTGCATAGAATTCCATTGTGTATATGTACCACAGCTTTTTTTTTCAATCCTCACCCGAGGACATTTTCCTATTTTTGTTCAGATAGAGTGGGAGGGAGGGAGGGAGGAAGGGAGGGAGGGAGAGAGAGGGAGAGGAAGAGGGAGAGAGAGAGACATTGACGTTAAAGGGACACATCGAGTGGCTGCCACCCACACAACCCAACAAGGGCCGGGGACAAACGGCAACCGAGGTACGTGCCCTTAGCAGGAACCGAACCTGCGTCTCTCTGGACCGCAGGCTGACGCTCTAACTGCTGAGCCAAACTGGCCAGGGCTGTACCACAGCTTTTTTATCCACTCATCTATTGATGGACACTTGGGCCATTTCCAGATGTTAGTGATTGTAAATAGTGCTGCTATGAATGTAGGGGTACATATATTCTTTCTGATTGGTGTTTTAGGCTTCTTAGGGTATATTCCTAGAAGCGGGCTTCCTCTTAATTTGCTAAATAGTTGCAAAGAATGAATCTAGCCTGCATCATCTTTAAAACATACACATACAACTTTACCTAATTGTAATGGTTCAGCTATCTCTGAAAAATAGTAATTCATTCTGAAATTTGAATTATCAGCTGCAGCTGCATTTTGTTACTATTTGAATTTAGGGAGTGGGAGGAGGAGCTCTCTGTAACATACAATCTGAGCTGTTGTAATATGCAGACACAGAGTTTACACTGAGTGTAGGCAAACTGCTAACCAGCAGAAACACTTATTCTAGCATAATATGAGACTTAAAGGCAAAATAAAGGGCAGAGGTGAAAATAATAGGAAAAAAGTAAACTCCAGTTGGACTGAGATTAAATCTTTTTAAAAAGTGAGGAAGAATACTAAAGAGAAAGACTTTTCTGCTAGAAGTAATAAAGGAAAGTGTAGAGGAAAAGGTCAGTAGGTTTGAATACATTAATATTTTAAACTACTTTTAAACTTTTCAATACACAGGCAGTGTGTATTTGCTGTAGAAAAAAAATTGGAAAACAATGGGAAATAAAAATCACTCATAATCCTGCCAAACTAGCAGTAGCAGCTCTATTGTTATATAGTGACAGCTTTATGATTATCCTACCACACTTATATTTAATTTCCTGTACATAAATTTTTATTTTTTGGTTAATCCTTACCCGAGGATGTTTTTCCATTGATTTTTTTATTTTATTTTATTTTTTAGATAGAGTGGAGTGGGTGGGGAGAAGAAACATCATTGCGAAAGAGACACATTGATTGGTTGCCTCCCACATGACCCCGACTGGAGCCAGGGATCGAACCTGCAACTGAGTCATGTGCCCTTGACCGGGAATCAAACCGGAAACCCTTTGGTCTGTGGGCCAATGCTCTAACTGCTGAGCAAAACTGGCCAGGGCTATAATTTTTTTTAATGTACAAATAGGTAAATTGGAAAAGTGGTTTTTAGCACAGGCAAAGAAGTGATGGCTTTAATATATGGTAAGGAGTTTATATGAGTAAGAAAAACACTTACATTCTCAAAGATTGTTAGGCACAGGATAGAAAGAGACAAGCCACTCTGTGTGTGCATCATCCAGCAGACATCGAGCACCTACTAGCTAAGTTAGGCATCCTCATTAAAGTTGTGCTTACTGTACACACAAAGAGCTGTTGGAGAGACAGACATGTCATCTTTTTCTTCTTCAGTTGAACTTTCAAGAATAATGTAGGATAATGTGGTTGTTTTTTTTTCCTTTATTAATTTTTAGAGAGAGAAAGTGAGAGATAGAAACATTGATGAGAGAGAACATCGATTGGCCACCTCCTGCCTGCCCCCGACTGGGGATTGGGCCCGCAACTTGGGCATATGTCCTGACCGGGAATTGAACCAGCGACCTCTTGGTGCATGGGTCGACGCTCAACCACTGAGCCACACCGACTGGACAATGCATTTTTGAATTTGGGATGGACAAATGTTTCTTAAACAAGGTACTCTGAAAAAAGCTAACAATAAAGGAAAAGATTGACAAATTGAACTACATTGAAATTAAAAAATTCCCTTCATTAAAAGTCACCATTAATATGCAGAATTAGTCCCAAATTCCTCCCACCCCTGTCTGCATTCCCTCTGAGTGTCTCTCATCAAGAGGAAGAGAATCCCTTTTGAATTTACCCTTGGTCACATGACCTGCTTTGGCCGGCAGAATATTGGCGATCATGACACAAGCAGAGGCATAAAAAAGTATTTGTATATGGGCCTTGCCCTCTCTTGCTGCTTTTGAGAATTCTACAGTCACTACCATGTGAACAAGCCCAGGCTAGTCTATTGGATGATGAGCACCATGTGGCCTGATTACTGCCATCGCCCTTGTCAATGGCCAGCCAAGCATCAGGTATGTGAGTGAGACCGTGGGCTACCAGCTGACAACAAATGCATATTAGAATGCAGCCAGCATTACATGGAACAGGGACAAGCTATCCTAGCTAAGTCCAGCCCAAGTAGCCAAACTCTAGAATCATGAACAAGTGAGTAGTTGTTATAAGCCACTATGTTTTGGGGTGGTTTGATATACAACACAAGTCAACTGATACAGAGAAAGATATTAGCAGTATATATGACCACCAGAGGACTTCGACTAGAATAAATAAGGAACACTGCATATCATTTAGAAAAAGACAACCTAATAGAAAAAAGTAGACAACGCTGACATATGATAGGATTTCAACTATATGACATTTCTGGGAAAGGCAGAACTGTGAAGAGTAACAAGATCAATGGTTGCCAGGGGTTTAGGGAGAGAGAAAGAAAGATCAATAGGTGGAGGACAGGAAGATTTGGGGCAGTGAAAATATTCTGTATAATACTGTAATGGTGGATACATGTCATTACATGTGTCAAAA